ACAGTAAATAAACTTTCCTGACATAATCCAGCTCATGTGGAGGAGTGAGAGGGGGGACGGGTGGCGGGTGAGGGACTGCTCATTCCGGTTGCGGCTCTTATAATCTGTTTAGCATAAGCACAGCAGAGAGAGGACATGAAGGGTTTAATGGAAGCAATAAGAATAGTGTTATATTAAAGTGCGTTGCAATAAAATCATGTCGAATAATTTTGTGGAGATTGGGTATGATTTCAGAAGTCGACAGTGACAGCCGGGTCCCAAGACTTCGCTTGCTTTGTTTTGACTTTGAAATAAAGAATATGGTATTTAGTAATCGCCTGAACACAGGCCATTCCGCGTCAAAATCAAAAGTAGTCGAGCTCACTGCTGATTACTGGACGTCCATCAGTAATCACAACTATCTCCCTATTCACAGAAAAATAAAACTAACTGACCAGATAGCATAAACAAATGAGTAGCCTTTATTAGATTCAATTCAAGTCGTTTTTACTATTTTAAATAGTTCTATACACTGGAAAAGCCATAAAAAAGTATGCAGAGAAATAATTCCTTTTTGGAGGGGATTGGATGAATATAAGCATTTTGCTTTATCCAATCCCTTTTCAAACCAAATCAAGGGACATATAGAATTAGGAAAAATGCGCAATTAATTGGAATTAATTGCGATTAAATATCAAATATAATCATTGTTTTGACAGTCGCAACAACGAATTGACGCATTTGCCGAATGACCCCCCCATGCATCCCATAATAACACTCAGAAGTGCCGCTCACTAGCCTGGCCTTAGCCATCCGTACACTCTGCTCAATAATCATTTCACTGCATGTAACGTCTGGGTCTGGTCCCCATGTTAGCGATTACAATCGATTGAATTTCGACCGACAAATCAGCGAGCGCGGAAGGAGAGTGTTGTAGTTAGTTGTGGGTGACGTCAAGAGTTTGCGTTGAACAGGAAGGTTGTGGTTTGGCAATGGCCAAACCACTGGTTCTATCAAGAAATTGAAGCCGGAGCAAGAGGAATGTTTGGCAAATGTAATCGCTAGAAGAAATTGCGGCACTACTCCCCACGGGCTCTGTTAGCAGCAAAGGAGATGGCTAGGCTAAATGCAAAATGCTAACTACTCACTCGGGCGCATTGCATACGTCACGGTAAACTCAGATCCAATTGTTTCAATCTGCAAAAGGGGTTAACCCCTCTCACCTGTTCACGGAGCTCAATGGAGCAACTCCAGACCTTAGTACGATATGTAATTTGTACTATGGTGTGGTACGACCAGGCTAGCCACTCACAGGCCTCTCATTTGAAAA